AGGAGAGAAAGGGGGGAAGGGGAGCCATTGTATAGACCGGCCTCTTACTCTTTTAATACACACAAGCAATTCTAAAAGTTTTGTTTAGTCCGGACCTGGTTCAGAAAGCTCCTTGATGTACGTCCTGCTAACCACCTCTATCCTCCTGATCCTGATCCTGGTCTCCAACCTGCAGAACTTTGTCCTCATCCTCTCATCCATATTCTTCTCACAGCGTCGACATCTCCAGAGAACAATGGCAAATCAAGAATTAGGAAAACAACAATTATTCCTTTTTATTTAGTTTTAGTTTTTACTTGATAAAGTACCCGGTGTTGCCCGTGGAGTTAAAAAAAACGCTAAATAATTTTTTTATTTGTTTTTTTTTGCCTATGTTATCCTTTTTGTGGTAACTCACATAACCCTTGGAAAGATTTAAGTTAAAAATTTCTTAAAGTTTCGATTGAACAAAAATAAGAAATGAAGCAGTAAAGTCCGTGATAATGTTTAACATGGCTATTTTTTATCATTATGAATTATGATAATGTTCTTAGTATCCACATTTTGAAATCATTTTGAAATGAATTTAAAATAATATTTCTTGAAAAAATGAAAAAGTTTTGTTTAGTACAATCTGAAGGATATATGCCAGCTCTTCAGAAGGAAATTAGTTTACTCAAGGAATCCATTTTACTTTTTTATTCAATTTTGAGGGAATTTCACACACCTAATATTTAGTGTTGTAGGGTGATTAATCGCCTTTATCACCCTACACCACAACTTAATCACCCTACTATTTCACACCTAATATTAGCGTTGTAGGGTGATTAATCACCTTTATCACCCTACACCACAACTTAATCACCCTACTATTTCACACCTAATATTTACCGTTGTAGGGTGATTAATCATCTTTGTCACCCTACACCACAACTTAATCACCCTGCTATTGCAAACCTAATATTTACCGTTGTAGGGTGATAAATCACCTTTATCACCCTACACCACAACTTAATCACCCTACTATTTCAAACCTAATATTTACCGTTGTAGGGTGATAAATCACCTTTATCACCCTACACCACAACTTAATCACCCTACTATTTTAAACCTAATATTTACCAATGTTGGGTGAATAATCACGTTTATCACCCTACAACACAACTTAATCAACCTGGTATTGAAAGTTAAAATTTCACATCTAATATTTTCCGTTTCAGGGCGATAAAGTTACTTTGTCACCCTACAACAGGGTGATAAAAAAAAGTTCTTTAATCTCCTGTTCAACGAAATAACCAACCTTTAATTCCCTCTTTAGTAATTATAAGTTAAGTAAAGTGGAATATAACTAGATATGTTATTTGAATGGGTATCATGCGCGCGAAAAAGTTTTTGTTAGAATTTTTTTTTTCTAGTTTGTTTTCGATAAAAAAAAATCCAGGAAAAAACTTTTTCGTACTTAATAATACCCATTAGAAAGACATAAGTTGATGATTAGTAAACTTGATTCTTACCTTTTCTTTGGATATTTTAACCAATTATTTCTATTTGGATTTATTTGATTCTATATTTTCCTTTTTTCTTCTTTGTAATTATGTGTTGAACGTTAGGATGAGAATTCTACATAATTTCCACCTGGGCGAATTTCTTATTTACATTATCTGTGCCGCAGTAGAGGCTTACAACACAAACTTGACAAAATTTTACACTTTTCAACAAAATATTCGTTATTTTGACAGTATTAAATGTTTTCATAGTCAACAGAGTTTATTCCTGAGAACTCTGCGTTCTCTTTAGTTTGGTCACTTCTTTATATTTTTCAGTGTGGCATTTAAATAAAATAAATTTTTTGCAGAACATGCTTTCTTGTCTGGACTCATTCTCCAACAAACAATCCAGGTAATAAATAGATTTTTTGCAGAACATGCTTTCTTGTCTGGACTCATTCTCCAACAAACAATCCAGGTAATAAATTAAATAACATATTCATATTCGCAATTTTTCATCTGTCACAAAATTTAAACCCCCCACCACTGACCCTTTCACGCAATATTTTATCACACAAAAGTATTTTTTTATAAATTTTAAAAAGAACTTTGAAAATATTTACCAAAATTGGATTAGGAGTATTTTTAGCAGATGCAATTTAATCCTTAAAACGAAAAAAATGCAATGTCTGCATGCTGATAACATCAATATTATTCAGAAAGGAGTTAAGTCTTTCGTATAAACTCAAGTTTGCTAATCCCTATATCTTAGCAACCTGGCCGTGTAAACCTTTTACATTTCAAACATTGATTATTTGATCTAAGAGAATTCATAGTTTAAATATCAAAGGTTTACGACATTGGCCTTAAAAGATAGAGGAATTAGAGAATCAGAGTTTGTGGCACAAAGACTCAATTCGATAAATTCCTTTAAAATAAAAATTTTTACGACAACAAACTGACAAATAAAACCACGAATAATTTTCAAAATATTTTAAAATATAAAACTGTCTGATATAAATATACAGGGTTTCCCATAAAAGACTGAATACTTAATAATTTGGCAAAGAAAGAAAGTTTAGAACATAACATGAACATAAGCATTTGATAAACAGACAATATAAATTCCGTACAGTCGTCTTTTCAGTCTTATTCTTTGTGGTTAACACTTTATCTAAATGTTTTATATTTTAAACCTAGGATGATAATTATAATTGATGGGTTGGATAGCGTTGAACAGAGAAAAGTTCTTAAAGTTTTGGATACAGTACATACACTGTTCTCAGGTACTCATCATTTACAGTACAGTATTTCTAGTTCCTGGATCCAAGTTTATTATCATATATCTAGATCCTGGATCCAAGTTAATCATATTTCTAGATCCTGGATCCAAGTTTATTATCATATTTCTAGATCTTGGATCCAAGTTTATTATCATATTTCTAGATCCTGGATCCAAGTTTATCATATTTCTAGATCCTGGATCCAAGTTTATTATCATATTTTTAGATCCTGGATCCAAACTTATTATCATATTTCTAGATCCTGGATCCAAGTTTATTATCTTGTTGGCAATTGATCCGCATGTGATCACCAAGGCGATAGAGCTAAATCTAAACCAGGTACGTAATAATAAATACCAACTTTTGAAAATATCATAAAATTATATATTGGCCATGAAATTGTTAGTTTAATAGAACCCCAATGTTAAATCGTTAATTTAAACAATCCTAAATATAACTCGTAAAAAATGTGAATCTTTGCCACAAACTGAAATTTTCTAATCCCTAAATCTCACCACTTGATGGTGTAAAACTTTGATATTTCAAACTTTGACTATTTAACCTAACAAGAGTCATAGTTAAAAAATATAATGTCTACAACATAGGGTTGCAAAGATACAGTCATGGTGAGATTGCTATGTGGTCATAGGGCGTCCCTAAAAATTTGATTGATTGATAAACTGAAAGGGATAAGTCTGATTGATAGATTAATTGAAAGGGATAAGTCTGATTCATTGATTAATTGAAAGGGATAAGAAAATAATATTTTCTGACAATGACTCAATTCATTTCTATCTGACGAGTTCCTTAAAATCTTTAACTGCGCCCATGAAATGAGATATATATTGTCTTATTTCAAGGTATTCTCTGAGACATCTATCGGAGGAAATGCTTATCTCAGGAATATGGTTCATCTGCCCTTCTTTCTTCAAAACTCAGGATTCAGGTTTATTTTTATTTCTTCTCTTGCAAGGTTTTTCGTTGTAAATTCAAGGAACCTTCAACTAAAAAGAGGGGCATGCAAGATTCACAACGGTATCCCTTTAAACCAAACAATTCTAAAGAAGATGTCGTCGTTTTTCTAGATAATTGTTTAATTCTGACAGTTTTCTCGATTGTTTTTGAAGAAATACGCAAGTGACTTTATGAGAAACCGCAATTAAAAATTGAAAATAATCAATATCAGGAGTATATGATGGATGCCATCTATTCTGCTTCAGGGTACAGTTATGAATCGGACATGCCACTTTCTTAATTATGGATGGAGAGTAAATATAAATTACGTTCACATTCTCTTTTGTTAAATAAAAACTTTTGCTTTATTTTTCTAATTAAGAAATTACAAACGATGATTTTCTTATCTTCAGAGTCTTACGTTGTCTCATCTTATAATTTTAATTTTATTTTCCTTGACCCGGCTCTTCCAACTCTTCCAAGAAATATCCTACATTGATAATGATATATCTAAGAAATATCACACATTAATAATGAATATATCGGAGAAATATCCTACATTGATAAAGAATATCTCGGAGAAATATCACACATTGATAATGAATATATCGGAGAAATATCGTACATTGATAATGAATATATCGGAGAAATATCACACATTGATAATGAATATTTTGGAGAAATATCACACATTGATAATGAATATATCGGAGAAATATCCTACATTGATAAAGAATATCTCGGAGAAATATCACACATTGATAATGAATATATCGGAGAAATATCCTACATTGATAATGATATATCGGAGAAATATCCTACATTGATAATGATATATCGGAGAAATATCCTACATTGATAATGACATATTGGAGAAATATCCTACATTGATAATGATATATCGGAGAAATATCCTACATTGATAATGAATATATCGGAGAAATTTCGTACATTGATAATGACATATCGGAGAAATATCCTACATTAATAATGATATATCGGAGAAATATCCTACATTGATAATGACATATCGGAGAAATATCCTACATTAATAATGATATATCGGAGAAATATCCTACATTGATAATGTGAATATTAAGATCTAAGAGTACAAAGTATCGATGTCTTAAAAGTTCCGTAAAATTATCAGCTTGTTTTAGAAAGATAAAGATAGCTCAGCAATTAGCTGCCAAACAGCGAGGAGAGAGTAGGATGGCCGATGATGAAGAGGATGAAGAAGAAGAAATTGAAGATGGAACTAATTTTGAGAAGAAGTTCGGGTCAACAGAAACAATGATATCCAGGTATTAGCAATAGAAGCGAATACTTCTTTAAATGTCGTCTTCTTGCTTTTGAATTTTTTCTCAATTATTTAAGAAAAGAAGAGCCGGATAATTTACGAAAAGAAAACAGAGATTTAGCAAATATTTCAAGATTTATCGAAGTTCAAGTCTTGAAGTTATTTATATTACGACTAAAGAGTAAACTTATTTGAACTCAATAATCCTAAACAATTACAGGGACCGTTCACTTATTTGGGTAATTTCAGGGTAAACTAAACTATCTCCTCGCTCATTTAAATGTTATTGTGCTCCTGTTACTGAATAAAAGCATTAAATAGTGTCTATAGAGAGGTACCATACCTTTCTGCTCGAATTATGACGAAAAATCGGCTTTTTCTCCGGCCACAGTTGTCTTTGAAAAGTAAGACTAATTCCAATCAACAGCGAATAGGCTGTTTAGTTTACACTCAAACTACCCAAACAAGTGAACGGTCCCTTTAATGACACAGCTTTACACGTTTATCGATGGGGAGTGATTAGAGAGAGTTATGAGTTATACCCACTAAGAATGAGAAATGAATTGTGGCTAGAAACCTATCAAATATTACGCTCTGAAGACATCGTGTGTATTTGATGTTGTTGAAAAGCAAATAGTTTAACTAGTAAGTTATTAAATCACTAATTTAGTGAAATGGATCTGTTTACACTGCACAATTGCTGTGTCCCAAGCTTATTGGACTATTTAAAATCATATCTTGAGTCTGAAAGTCGTCTTTCTAAATCAAAGTTTTTAGGTTCTTACTGTGTTAAACTTAATAAGATAAAAAAAATGGGTCTGTTAAGAGTGGGCAGCTGCAGTGTACCAGAAAATTTACTGAATAATTCTGTACAGTCCTCTATGAAATCTCATATTTTGTGTGTAACCCCGGCCTTATGTAGGATAAAAAATGAAACCCCATTACCATCTATTTGGATTAAAATATAGATTAAACGATTTTCAGCGCCATTTTGATGCAAATTTTAATACATCTTTCTCCTGATGGGTAGATTCGTAAACTATATTGATTTCAGGTTCCGAGTTCGGAAACTATATTGATTTCAGGTTCCAGTTCGGAAACTATTTTGATTTCAGGTTCCGAGTTCGGAAACTATATTGATTTCAGGTTCCGAGTTCGGAAAAGTAGTCCGATAAGTCCTACTCCTAGTGTTGCAACCAACCTGGATCAGTCCTCAGGACCAATGGAGGTAAGAATAAGATTATTATAATAATAATATTTTTCCATTTGGATTGAGCGTACATTAATATTTTCAAAAAATAATACCGTGATTTTAGGACAGAAAAGTTGATTTAGAGGGAATTAAGTAGTTTTTTATAAAACAAAACAAAAAATCTATGATATTGATTTCCTAACATCTAAAATAAAGTTTAAATCTAAAAAATTTTCTCTGCAAGCTATCAAATTTATCAAATTTAAGCAAAAATTGCCAGTGATCGTATATAAAACATATTAAAAATTCTCTGTGAGACATGAATTGAGCACGAGCAATATCTAAAGCACATTATCAAACTCTTCTTATAGTCTGACTAGAAAACGTAGGATTCGAGTAAAATTTTAAGATATGTTCAGAATTATTTAATTACTTAAACCTTTTTTTATTGCATAAGTATAATGATAAAACAATGCAATATGACTAGTTTAAACCACAAAATTAAATAATATTTTGAAATGCACTATGTGAAATTTATTTATTTTCTACAATAGTCGTCGTCGCATATATCAATACAATGAAGACGACTTTGGATTCCAATATTTGATACAATAGAGTTATACTGAATAGATTATAGATATACTTGAGTACAAGAAGATTCAGGTAAATGTAGTACATGTCTAGTACACTGTAAGCTAGCGAATCATGTGTATATTTTCTTAGCTCAGTGACATCAACGCCTGAATATTAAATTCAACCATAACAGTATGACCAGACGCCTAGGGAGGGGGTTCACTAACCCAGGCAGAAGATGGTGGGAAGAGGTGGGGTGGTGGAAGGGGATGATGACTCTATCTATCTCTATTATTTATACACATAAACATAGAAAAGAGAAGTTGTTAATTAACAGCTTCTCTGTGTTTACGTGTAAACCTGTGCTTTGAAATAAAAGCTAATTAGAAATCAAGTCGTCTTTATTGTATTGATATAAACGCCGACTACTGTATGTTTAGGTGAACAGGATGTTCCTGACGGACGATTATTTCTCCGACGTAAACCCCCGGAGTATGCGGAGACTTATGAATGTTATCTACGTTATGGGTCGTCTTCTCAAGGTACCTATCTACGCTATGGGTCGTATTCTCAAGGTACCTATCTACGTTATGGGTCGTCTTCTCAAGGTACCTATCTACGTTATGGTCGTCTTCTCAAGGTACCTATCTACGTTATGGGTCGTATTCTCAAGGTACCTATCTACGTTATGGGTCGTCTTCTCATGGTACCTATCTACGTTATGGGTCGTATTCTCAAGGTACCTATCTACGTTATTGGTCGTATTCTCATGGTACCACAGGTGTATAGAAAATACAATTGATTCATCAGAGGTCGGAGCGTTGTATAACTTAAACTTACACAGAAAACTTTTTATCGGAGACAATTACGTGAAAAACAGCTCTTTTTATGCGATCTGTCATTGGCTCTGATTGGCTCTGATTTCGTTTAAAAAATCTTTTGCTCAAATATATTTTACTTTGAAGTTAATTTTACTATAATATGACTCTTATATAATATTTGTATTATTGTCTTTGGTATTAAACAATTTAACAAATTATGGAAGAAGACATTCTAAACTATTTACCAACTGTAAGGTTTCGTGGGACACCCTGTAGGTCATGCAGTGTACTGGAGGGTGATGGGACCAAGAATATAAGTAATAAAAAGACTGAATTATTCCGTTCAGTCGCCTGTGAAGTCTCTTGTTTGTGGGTAACCCTGTATATTTTTATATTTGTTTAGGCTTTTAACATTGAGTTTAATTGGCATCATCTGGCCACCTGGACTAATATAACGGAACAGGTAAGGAAATTAGTTTTTTTTTGTATTAATATTAGTTTTTTTTTTGTATTAATATTTAACTATTATTCCTGAAAAATGTGAAAATTCACTTAAAGTAACAGAGACAAAATATAATGAATATGAGCTTGGTATATTGCCGGTTCTACTAAGTATCTTGAATCAGTTATATAGGATCTGAATCGACAGTGGGAAGTTCAACGACCTAGCTCAAATTTATTAAACTCGGTCCCAGGATTATCAGGTTCGGTATGAGTTGTCTTGGAATATGCGCAAACTTCATAAAAGCGAAATGAAAAACTGGGGCATAAAGTAATCAACTGGATGGGATGTCCTAGCCTTGTTGTGAATTATCAAAAAGGTTTTTGGTCACAAAATTATTCCCAAATGCAGTCAATCTTTTTGCATCATAAAAATTGACTTTGACTTTATTCAATAAATTACTCGCCTCAAACTCTATTTTCTAATCCGTATATATTGTCAACCAGTCGGTTTAAAGCATTGATTTTTTCAAACTTTGATTATTTGATCCAGCAGAATTTGTGTAGTTATCCAAGGTACCATATCAGAGATGTGTTGGATAGTCCTAACTCCGATCGCTTCATCTCGATATACACTGTAGGCACTTTTAATTGAATTTAATTCAATATATCTTTCCTTGTGCATTTTAGTTTTTCTCCTTCTGATCAAAGCTCTCCTCAATCTGCAGATTAACAAAAGTCTTAATCAAGCATTAATCTCGATATTCACAATACAAGAGTTGCAATTCCTTCGTCAATTTAGAAACTACTGTAAAGCTATAGTTAATATTCTAGTGGCCGTATAGAACTAGTTGGATAACATACTTTGCTGTAGTTAATATTCTAGTGGCCGTATAGAACTAGTTGGATAACATACTTAGCTATAGTTAATATTCTAGTGGCCGTATAGAACTAGTTGGATAACATACTTTGCTGTAGTTAATATTCTAGTGGCCGTATAGAACTAGTTGGATAACATACTTTGCTGTAGTGAATATTCTAGTTGACGTATAGAACTAGTTGGATAACATACTTTGCTGTAGTGAATATTCTAGTGGCCGTATAGAACTAGTTGGATAACATACTTTGCTGAATACTGTGAGGAGAAGTTAGAGGATGATCTGCCATTGAACTCAGTTTATCAAAGGGTAAATAAAGTGTTTAAAGGGACTGTTAGCTTAGTTTCAAGTGACCCTCCATGCAAAAATAGCAATGTCCGAATTACACGGTACTCATGAAACTTATAATGAAAAATTGCTCAGGTCACTTTTGAAGAAAACCAACAAATGAAAATAAACAGTTTTAAAAAAAGAACATTGATATCTAATTCATATCTTATTAAACAAAGCTTTCAAGAGGTACGATGTTAATAGGGCATTGTCATCTTTGAATGGTGAGTCACTTGAATTCACGCTTCCGGTTCATTTAATAACAAATTTTTGTAAATTATGATTATAAATTAAAAAATCATAAAACAAAAAAATATCCAGCAAAACATTTTTATCCTTAAATTGCTTTTAGGTGAAATGTTTAATTCCCTGTAAACAGGATGAAGAACCCCTACTTGAAATGGACAGGTAACATTGTATTTTGCAAAATTAACGACGCGTCATGCCCCTATCTTTAAAAATGAAAATAATATAGTTTGGATTTAATGAAAAAAGAAGCGATTTAACGCTTTATGTTAGTTGAACTTTTTCTCTTGTGAACTCTGTTCTAGACTAAAGAAACAGCTGAACTTACATTAGATTAACAATCCAGAGTTAAAAATACTTTTTTATATTTCCTAGATTGTAAAAGAGTATTTTTTAAACTTTAATCTATTTCCTGAAAATCCTTTTATAAATAAACAATATTAAATGCTAAACTTTTCACAGCGCCAACCAGGGATACACCAGGGATATTTTGAAAATTAAATTCATTTAGAAATTTCACGATACATTAATGTAGTAGACTTTCATAGTCCAATCATTAATATGTTTTTTTTTTTCGACAAATATTTATTGCCGCGAGTTTAATAATAATATTTGAAAGTTGCAAAATGTTCCAGAGATGAGAAAAAGTTGGAAGCATTCTTGAATATTCACAAGAAAAGTCTGAGAGTTGCAGATATGAAAATATTCCTTCCTTTCACAATAAACCTGGACCCGTACCTTAAAAAGATTATTAAAGAAGAGGTAAGGTTTTCTACTTTAAAGGGAGTGTTCGCGAAAAATAAAAGGGGGTATCGGCTAACCTCGAATTGAATTTGATGGTGATTGCTACTAACCTTACTTCTATCTGTTGAGTCTATAAGGAGAAAAGGTTTAAAAACTACTCACACCGAAGAGTGCAGGACCCATAGAAATTCGAAATGTTGCATTATTTCAATCAGATCGGAAATAATTCAATTAAATATAAAGTTAATATTTATATATTTATCCTTCCTTTCAGAAAATTAGGAATTTTTAGTCTTATAAAATTTTATTTTAATTTAAAGAAGATCAATTACCACCAACAGTTAAAAAAGATTTCACATTATCAAAAAATATCAAAAACGCAAATCTTAGAAACAGAAATGATTTTTATATTCCTAGAATAAAATCTATTAAAATTGGACTGCTCCCCCCTCACAATTTCCCTAAAATATGGTATAAAAATAAACGACACTTTTCTAAGCTTTCAAATATCAATCTTGTTTCGAATTTTAAACAGAATTAAATTGAAGATTTTTAACATCAGAACAAATGTATAAATTCTAACACATGCAAAAAGAATCGAAGAAAGCAAAGACGTTTTACAAAGAAAAGACCAATACGATTAAAAAGAGTAAAAGATAATCAAACATAAAGGACGTCCAAAGTCGGCGCTAATTAAAAAGATGCTTTAAAATGCATTTTGCGTAAAACCTATACATTTTTCACATCCCATAAAGCCTATTTATTTTTTTGAACATAACAAATAAATCTATAATTTTCATTTCTAAAAGTTGTTAGTTCATCGTCGAAAAATACTAACAATTCACCACTAGTTTAGATCAAATATAGTGTAAACAATAAATATGTAACTTTCCTTTTTCCTTAGCTTTCCTTTCCTTTTCTTTTTATTTCTATTCTTTAGATTTTTTTAGAATTGGGGGGAAATATTCCCACAACCTCTATTTTTGGAGGTTTTCAAATATTTTCTCCTTAAACACTTAATTTTGTATGTTTTTGTTATTTTTCATAAAAAATAATTACTTACTATTACAACCTATATGTCGAATTCATTTCGGTGCATCGCTTTATATAGTTGATATTTCATAATATCTTTATTTTTTTGTACACGATTTACTTTAAACGACGATTATTTGGCCACTAGGCGTCCCTGCCCTCGACATTACAGGGGTTCCACGTCGGAGAGACACCTATCGACTAAAAAATCGTCGTTTAAAGTATATCATATATTAAAAGAATTAACAATTTTATGAAATATAAACTTTATAGGAATGCATCGAAATATAATATTATATTATATTGTAATATTATAATACCTGAATGTTTAGTTTTAAATTTAATTGAATTATTTCCGATCTGAGAGAACTATTGCAACTTCGTGAATGTGTATGGGCCCTGCGCTCTTCGGTATAAGCCGTTTTTAACACTTTTCTCCTTAGACGCAACTGATAGAAGTTAGATTAGTAGTGATCACCATCAAATTCCAATCGATGTTAGCAATATACCCCCTTTCGCTTTTCGCGAACACCCCCTTTAAAGGGACTGTAATCGTATTTACAAGTGGTGCTCCGTGCAAAGATGAAAATATCCGATTAACAAAGTTAATTTCTATATTTGTAATTGCTATATGTTTTCCTGTAGGAGTAGAATAGTGCAAGTCACTTTATTTGAGAAACCACAGTTGAAAAAAATTAGTTTTCCAAATAATAAACATGGATATCTTATTCATACTTGATCAGACAAAGCTTTTATGTGTACTCACTGTGATTTAAAGGTTTCACAGACTCCAGAAAAAAATCTATGATGTTTTGCCAATTCCTTCTAAAAACCCAGAGCTAACAACAAATATTTCATAGTTCTAAAATGTACATGTAAATGGCTACCTACAGAAAAGCATAAGTGAGTTAGAGCTGTAAAATCTAAGCCCAATGCGTCGCAACACTTCAAAATCGACCATGTCTTAACCTTATCCCTGCTGGGGTACTTGAAAACCAGGATACGCTGGGGGGGGTACCCCCCCCCAGCGGGAATAGGGTTAAAAATTGATGAGACGAATGTTTATAAGCAGGTTAAATTTCAAGTGACACGTACCTTGTATACCCGATACATTACGTGATACTCTTTAAACCATAGATAAATCCATAAGATAGATCCAAATATATATAATTTTCAATCTGAAAATTTAATTTTTTAGTTTGGGTTTCTATTGTTAATTATTGTATTCTGTTTAAAAATCCACTTTTCCAGGTCCATAACATAGAGGCTCTTGGTATACCTGTTTTATCTATGGAAGCAAACCTGGAAAACTGCTCCCTCCCCGTCCCTCTCCTCCCTCCAGCAAACTCCCTCTCCGTCCCTCACCTCCCTCCACCAAGCTGTGGACAAGGGATGACAAGGAGGAAATCTCTGAGTATGGCTCGACACTATCCTGCTTCAATTAGGTAATAACAGCCATGTTAGATTAAAAGAACTGTTCTGTAAATTATATCCCCTAAAGATTATGGACTTAATTTTTAAAATTTCTGGAACTTTAAAAATGAATGTTTGAGAAGAAATACCCATTAAATCATTGCCAACTCTATGTTCTAAAGAACAGAATTAATTGCAGAACGGATGACAGATTAGTTTTTAATAAAATTATAAATGTTTAAAACTCTAAAATTTTGTTGCATTTTTAAATCCAACACCTGATATAATTATATTTTAAACTAATGTTATTAAATAAGATTCCATTAAAATGTTTTTTATGAGAGTAGTTGTAGTGGTAAGGCCCTAAGTAATATTTTGCCACCAAACAATACATTAAAATTTTTTATTATATTTTTTTAATCACGAAACCTTGAACAAGATCCCTTAACCACCTATATAGATAACATAGATTGTGATTTGATTGGGTAACAAAGACTAATCCTAAAGTAATGATCTAAATATTTTAGCAAACTTTAATATCCCCAGCGCTTGGCCCAGATTAATGGCCGCAGTGCTTGGCCCAGATAACATGAGCAGATTGTAATTTTATAGCAGTTAAATGTGAACAAAATGTGTGATAGTCTGTTACATGTTCCGTGGTTTATTACTTAATATATGTATGGATAGTGTTTATGTGCCTATGATAGATAGATGGATATGATCACGTGACCTAATGGTTGGATTCAAGAGTTAGGGAGTTGCCAATACCCAGATATAACAATCACCCATGAAAAATGTCGCTTTTTCAAAAACCGCAGAACTGAACAGGGTCTAAATATATTTTCCAGGTTTCTCGGAGCAGAGCGAACTGGACAGGATCTAACTATGTTCTCTAGGATACCCGGAGCAGAGAGAACTGGACAGGATCTAACTGTGTGTTTTAGGCTCCCCAGAGCAGAGATAATTGTTCAGGATCTAACTATGTTCTTTGGGTGCCCGGGAGTAGAGAGAACTGTATAGGATCTAACTATGTGTTTTAGGCTCCCCGGAGCAGAAAGAACTGGAGACAGGGGTCTAACTATGTTCTCTAGGTTCCCCGGAGAAGAGAGAACTGGACAGGATCTAACTATGTTCTCTAAATGACCAGGAGTAGAGAGAACTAGGCTGAGTCTAACTATGTTCTCCAGGTTCCCTGGAGCAGGAAGAACTGCAGACAGGGTCTAACTATATTCTCTAGGTTCCCAGGAGCAGCAGAGAGAACTGGACAGGGTCGAACAAATCTCTCCTCTTCTCCTATACAGCAAGAATACAATCCTTACTCGGATATAAGGTTGGTTAAAACTAAATATAAATTAAAACTATATAATTAATATCAGCTTTTCTCAGTATTTTCTTTAAAAAGACAACATTTGATGTTCTTGATCGTCATAAGCTGTTGAAAATCCGGGAGCAGTGATTGTAAATTTCCAAATGTAAAAATTATTCATATTTCTTCAAGAAAGAACTTGAATCCTTTATGATAAATAACTTAGAATTAAGGAGACAGTCCCTTAAATCCGTTTTTTTATAACCTAGAACCACTGTTGAACTGTTTGAACTGAGATTAGTCCCTTAAATCCTTTTTTTATAGTTTAGAACCAGGGTTGAACTGTTTAAACTACGACCAGTCCCTTAAATCCTTTTTTTATAATTTAGAACCAGTGTTGAACTGTTTGAACTGAGATTAGTCCCTTTAATCCTTTTTTATAATTTAGAACCAGTGTTGAACTATTTGAGCTGAGATTAGTCCCTTTAATCCTTTTTTTATAATTTAGAACCAGGGTTGAACTGTTTAAACTGAGATTAGTACCTTTAATCCTTTTTTTATAGTTTAGAACCAGGGTTGAACTGTTTGAACTGAGATTAGTCCCTTAAATCCCTTTTTTATAATTTAGAACCAGGGTTGAACTGTTTGAACTGAGATTAGTCCCTTAAATCCCTTTTTTATAATTTAGAACCAGGGTTGAACTGTTTGAGCTGAGATTAGTCCCTTTAATCCTTTTTTATGATTTAGAACCAGGGCTGAACTGTTTAAACTGAGATTAGTCCCTTTAATCCTTTTTTTATAATTTAGAACCAGTTTTGAACTGTTTAAACTGAGATTAGTACCTTTAATCCTTTTTTTATAGTTTAGAACCAGGGTTGAACTGTTTGAACTGAGATTAGTCCCTTAAATCCCTTTTTTATAATTTAGAACCAGGGTTGAACTGTTTGAACTGAGATTAGTCCCTTTAATCCTTTTTTTATGATTTAGAACCAGGGCTGAACTGTTTAAACTGAGATTAGTCCCTTTAATCCTTTTTTTATAATTTAGAACCAGTTTTGAACTGTTTGAACTACCACTAATCCCTCAAATCCTTTTTTTATAATATAGAACCAGCGTTGAACTGTTTGAACTGCGACGTGAGCTTCCTCTAGAGTTTCAAGATAGATCCCTATCAGAGCTTAGTGTTCAGGACGTATGCAGTCTTATCAGGTACTAGCTGAAATTTCCGGCGTTGCCCGTAGAATTAAAGAAAAGAATTTTAAAGAAAACGATTTTTGAAATAAATAAATATTTTTTGGGGCCCATGTTACCCCTCGAATAACCATAGCGAGCTCTGTAAATGATGGCTCACAGAAAAATACGCCCTTTTAAGCCATTATAGAAAGGTTATATTTAGGCAAAGTCCTGGCTTGAGTGATAACAGTGCTATTTACGAAGATACAATCCGTCTGAACAATATAAACGGGAGGGTTCTTAATAACTGTGATATTTCAGAACTCAGGTTATATCTCTATATGTAAAAGTTATCACTGAAAGCTCTGATCTAATTAAAGTACCAGACTGACTTTTAAGCAAAGTTAAAGCAAATTGTACAGTGTGAATACAGAGTGCAGTACGCCAAATGAATAATCTTATTCTCGCGAGATTATTGTATAATATCTTGAAAAGTTTTGTTTTAAGCTGAACCATATCTTAATTGCATTCTTTGTATTTAAGACATGAACAGATATACCTAATGTTGAAAATAGAAGAAAAATTTCAAAGACTATTTAAAAAATAGGCAGAAGTAGTTTAATTAAGTAGACTAGGTTGAACCACTTCTAGAGTGGGCTCCCTCAACTTGAAGAAAAGTGGTTCATCCTGGTCCATATAGTTCATCCTGGTATATATAGTTCATCCTGGTCCATATAGTTCATCCTGGTCCATATAGTTCATCCTGGTATATATAGATCATCCTGGTCCATATAGTTCATCTACGTCTTGTTATTTATTCAATTTGGACCTAGATTGATTCTACCATTTTCTGTCTTAACTAAAAGTTCTGGTAAAAAGCCAAGTGAGGCTTCATTTCAGAATCTTCCTTATTNCATATAGTTCATCCTGGTCCATATAGTTCATCCTGGTATATATAGTTCATCCTGGTCCATATAGTTCATCTACGTCTTGTTATTTATTCAATTTGGACCTAGATTGATTCTACCATTTTCTGTCTTAACTAAAAGTTCTGGTAAAAAGCCAAGTGAGGCTTCATTTCAGAATCTTCCTTATTTTCGAGCATTAATTTGTTTCGTTTTTGATATTTAATACCTTTTTTGGTGGGCCAATTTTTAATTATTCAAATATGTCAGGTTTCTTTCGCTATTTTTTAACAGATTTTAAATGAGTGACTGACAGTACTCCGATACAGGCAGAACATACTTTTTTTTAGTTAGTTCTACATAAACCAAGTGTACATTACCTAGATTCAAGGTCCTGTAATAAGGTTGGTTACTCTCGATGCACTTCAATGTACGGAAAATTTCGTCTCCTTAGCTCGCCTCTATAATTAGTGACGTCATATGTGGATTCTATCTATTTATGCTAAAGAGACGACATGCCTGAACATTGGAGCGCATCCAGATTAACCAACCTAATTAAAGAACCTTGTCTAGATCTGTGATGAATATGAGTTTCGGAGACTGGAACCTATTCCGTGTAGTGTTGACTAGCATGAGAGAACTAGATCTGAAACCTTCATCTCCTAGCTCTTCTCAACTAGGTAGGTTTAAACCAGTATAAGAAAAGAAGATCTTAAACCTTCATCTCCTAGCTCCTCTCAACTAGGTAGGTTAAAACCAGTATGAGAGAACTAGATCTTAAACCTTCATCTCCTATAGCTCTTCTCAACTAGGTAGGTTTAAACCAGTATGAAAGAACTAGATCTTAAACCTTCATCTCCTAGCTCTTCTCAACTAGGTAGGTTTAAACCAGTATGAGAGAACTAGATCTTAAACCTTCATCTCCTAGCTCTTCTCAACTAGGTAGGTTTAAACCAGTATGAGATAACTAGACCTTAAATCTTCATCTCCAATAGCTCTTCTCAACTAGGTAGGTTTAAACCAGTACGAGAGAACTAGATCTTAAACCTTTATCTCCTAGCTCTTCTCAAATAGGTAGGTTTAAACCAGTATGAGAGAACTAGATCTTAAACCTTCATCTCCTAGCTCTTCTCAACTAGGTAGGTTTAAACCGGTATGAGAGAACTAGATCTTAAACCTTCATCTCCTAGCTCCTCTCAACTAGGTAGGTTTAAACCAGTATGAGAGAACTAGATCTTAAATCTTCATTTGTGTACGTTTATTAAGTGCATTTATGTACGTTTATTAAGTGCATTTGCAAAAATGTACAGGGAAAGTTATTAAATGTTGCCTGCTAATATTATTGACACTTTTTTCAATAACGATACTTTTTAATAAATTTTAAGTGATTCTTCTTTTAAAAAATGCACATTCTTCATTTTCTGAACTCTTTATTTAAAGTTATTTGTTATTATCTGAAGTGCCCGTCGTTGCCCGTGAAATAAAAAAATTGAACTTTAACCCTATTCCCGCTGGGGGGGGGGGTCAATTTGACCCCCCCCCTGTAGTTTTTTTTACATAACTCAAAAAGTATTGGTCTGAGGCTGTTGAAATTTTCTGACTTTTCTTACATACCCAAAGCCCTCCCTTTAGGCCTAAAACCGGGCTTTAATACTAACTGCCTGAGTCCTCAGGCACACTGCCTGAATGACTGCTTTTGCCTGTAGCAAACTAAATCTTTGTTTTGACCCACTTTCACTTGTCAGATTTTGATAAAATTTAGCTTTTTGGAAAGCCTATGACATAAGAAAACAGATTGCACAAGTTTTGCGAAAAAAAAATTGCAAATTTTTTGCAAACAACCTGTCAAAGGAAATTTGCACATTTTTAGTTTTTCTTGATTAAAAATCAGGTTATTTAAAATTTTGCAAAAATTTTTGCATATTTGAAATGGCATGGTCAAGGGCTTTTCAAAAATGTATAATTTGTCATTTTTTGGACAAATTTTTTTTTGCAAACATTTTTACTATAAAACTGGATTTTGCGATAAAAAATTCAATTTTCGCAAATTTGCAAATTTTTTTGCAGATTCTAAAAGTAGAGCACAAGAGCTTTCTAATGATGTATCATTTGTCATATTTGGACATAAAACATGGGATTTAGAGGGGCCCCCCCCCAGCGTATCCTGGTTTTCAAGTACCCCAGCGGGGATAGGGTTAAAAATTTAAGTTATATTTTTTGTTGGATAAATAATAAAAAATGTAGATTTTTTTAAAGCCTATGTTACCCCCAGTTAACCCCTGGTTTTCCTTCAACATGTTTAGCAAATTTGGTCCAGCCGTTTGGCAAAAAATGCATATGTATATGACCGAAGTGCTTTATTATTTAGATTGATTAATAGAAATACGCGAGTTTTTAGTGGAAAGAAACTTTGCAGAAATATATTCTTTTGAAATTATTATCCTAAAATTTGCATTTTCATGATGGTGGGTCGTCCAAAATTCTAATTCTTAAGTATTTTCTAATTTTTATCAATGTTTTGTTTGATCCAGAAACCACGGAGAATCCGTCTCCTCCTGTTCTGAAAAAGAATATTCAGTCAATACTCAGCACTGGAAGATATGGAAGATATAGAACTAATCAGGATTCTGTACAAAAACAGGTTAGAAAACTGTTAATTGACGGAACTTCATGTAACACTGCATTTAATGAGTGACACGTCCGATTCATAACGGTACCCTTTAAGCGTTTACCTTGGATTTATACATTAGGAATTTTCACTTTTCAGTGCAGACACGTTTACAGAAAAACCAGATGTGAAAGAAAACAATTTTTTTCAAGCTTTTTTATCCTTGATCAGCCATTGGTTTATGAATACCGTTAATTGAATCGAACATACCAACCTATAAATAAAGGTTTCCATAATATAATGTGAACATCCTATTTAAGATATAATTGATAAGAAATAATTAGATTCTGTTCGAAGATTTAAACAATTGTTTTTGTGTTGCGGGCATTGAAATTACCAAGTTTAAATTCGTCGCCTTATTCGTTAAGTCCAAATTGTTAATTTTTTGTGGCTAAATTTTTTTAGTGAAAATGCAATTTATCATAATTGTCAAGAATAATAATGAGCCTAAAAGTCCCGGAACGGTTTTTACAAAAGATTAGAGATTCATAATTAATAATTTTGAAACAAGAATATGCTTCTAAACTTATATATTCTGAGCTGAAAACTTTAGAATGGTGGATATCGAGATTAATGCTTGATCTCCTCTTTTTTTAAATATCCAGATTAAACAATGCTTCTTCTCCTGTTGTTATTAATTTTCAGATTAATTAGCCGATCGGGATTAGGGTATTTCATTCTGAAGTTTTCAGCTCTGAATTGTGGTTAATTTCTCTAAAGGGAAAATCCTCGAAAAATCCTAAAATCATGTTTTTAATCAGGTTGAACTCGAGGAGGAAGCAGTTTCAGGCCTTCTCTCTTTAATCAACGTTAATGCTAGAGAAGATTTAGAAAAGAAACAGGATACATCAGCTCAGGTAACGGATTAAAAGTTGTAGATTAGCATTTTACACAAAAGTTTTGACCTTTCCTAGTTTAAACTTTGAATAACTATTTTGGATACACTCTTAGCAATTTAAAATTTTGTTATTTTGATCAAATTTTGTTAAATGATTCTGCTATGGTGAATTTGATGCCGATGTTCCAAAAAGTTTTGTTAGATGAAAATTTGAAATTTCTAAGATCCGTCTTTTCAAGGTAGTTTGAGATGTTTTCGTCATTATTATTAAATCAACAAGTCTTCTAGGATCCAGTTCTTAAGATATTTTTGGTTTTGGCCATCTTTTATATAATTTGTTGGTTAATTTTGAGTTTTACAATCTAGTTTTTTTTCTTATTTGTACACGCATAATTAATCGTTATCAAAAGTCTGGCACATGCTGCACATCAGATAGTAAAGACATAATGGTTAAAAAGTTAAAGTATGAGACAAGTGTTCAATTCCTTTAGCATATATTTGTTCAGAGTATAATAGCTACTGCTATTGCTTCTCCAGATGAGAATATACAAGCTGAGGCTAAGAAAGAGATGGACAAACTTGAGGTTTAGTTTTCTAATAAAATTAACATTAACAATCCCTAATTTTCAAAATTTTTAATATTCATATACAAGAATATCACAGCTTCTTCAACTAACATTTTTTAAAACTCTATCATAAGATAGAAATAGTTATATCAGGGGGGCCGGAAGAAGGGGATTGGGGCCGAAGGGGGTGGGGGATGAGGGGGATTTGGGGCAGGGGCTATTTAGATCACTCCATTTCTATTTAAACCCTTAAATGTTTCTTAGTTCCAGAAAAATTATCGTTTACGAAACGTCGAATTTTATGAAAACGGTCGTTTTTGGAAAAACGATCGTTTAAAAAAAATTACATGCAACTTTATTGAATGTCGTCTTACATGTAGTTAAACAGTTGTTGGGGGAGCTAACACTTCTTGATATTTTCTTAAAAGCTACTCAATGATTAGTACAGATGCCCTTCAGGTCTGTTTCCTCTCTTCGTTAACGATCGTTAACGAAGGGTCGTCGTTAACGATCGTTAACAAAACGACAAGTTTTATAAAACGATCATTTTTAAAAAATGAAATTTTAATTAAAAAGAATCGTTTTTAAAAACGATCGTTTCGTTTTCGAATTTTCGTCGTCGTTTTCATAACGAAACGATCGTTTTTCAAAAAAATGAAAAAGTTAACATTCCTGACTCCCATCACAACATTTCTATGATTAATAACGCAAGTTTATTGCATAAAGTTTTCAATTAAACTAAATTTTAATAAACAAATGCCGTTCTGCAGTAAATTTCCTAATTCAAAGGTTTGTTGTAAATATCAAAATGGTGGCTTTATAAACGTACTCTATATACTTCCTTCTGGCCTATTATGGCTAAAACCGATTTCTCAAATGTTGCCGTACAACATATTTCTAATCAAGCGTACATAATCACCCCCTGAGTCCGAAATTTAAAAGAGTATGGTTGAAGGTTCTTCCGAGTTTCCTTTTTGGGGTTTTAACATTTGTGCAGATTTTGAATTAAGAGATTCGAAAAAAATGGAGAATATGAATAAACTTAATAAAATTATATTTCATCACAAAAAATATTGATATTCACAAATTTGCCTAAGCCCATTCGTGAAACCCGGGTTCTAAAACTGGTTTTCACAATGATACCCTGTCTTATGTTTGGGCTCCGCGTTGGCGGCTCACTTCTGATAGTATATTAAAAAAAGCTCGGTAAAATCTTCTTATAAGTATTGTTCTTTATGGATAACCCCCGCAAGTATGAACTGTAATGTGCTTTTCTAGGTGAGTCATCTGTACTACTCCAGCCAGTGTAGAAGTGTGCAGGATCTGCAACCTTTATCAGGATCTAAACGAAACCAGGACAGGTTGGAGTCAAATATAGAACCACTCCGGAGTAGTTTTAAGAGATCAAACAGCAGATCAAATACAGACGATCTAGAAGCAGGAAATAGATCCAAGTAGGTTTTTATTAAAGTCATAATGTTAATAAATTGATAATGATAACAATAATAATACAAATTATAATAATGTAAATGAAAATGATGAAGCTAATGCTAATGCTAATGCCAATGCTAATGCTAATGATAATGCTGATGCTAATGCTGATGCTGATGCTAATGCTAATGCTAATGCTAAGGATAATGCTAATGCTAATGCTAATGGCACTGATACTGATACTGATACTGATGCTGATGCTGATGCTGATACTGATACTGATAGTGATGCTGATGCTGATGCTGATGCTGATGCTGATACTGATACTGATAATGATGCTGATACTGATACTGATACTGATACTGATACTGATACTGATACTGATACTGTTTGTTTTAGAAGGAATGTATCACGTGGTTCGTTTAAAGAAGTAAATTTTGAGATGAAATCCTACTCCACGGGACAAAGAGTATCTGTTAACAACGAGAAGTTTACGAAGGAGAAGGTTGTAATGAAGGAGGGGGAGAAGGTTGTGATGAATCATGAGGAGAAGGTTGTGATTAAGGACAAGGAGAAGGTTGTGCAGAAGGACGAGGAAAATGTTGGGAAAAATAATGAGAATGAGGAGGAGGGACCATATGATTGGTTGTCAAGGATGAAAGATCTCCCCTATTCTAGGTTAGAATAACAGTCTTTTTAAAAAATAAGTTTAAATTTCGGTTTAGAGCACTTGCCACCGGCCTGAACTAAGCTTTCGGTGCTGACAGTCGTAATATGTAGTACACTGACCGAAGAAACAGTGTACTTTTGCGGAGAGTGGTGCAACCTTTAAAAATTAGTTCTTTAAAAAATTTAAATTTTACGGTGTTCAACACCAAATCTTTGAAGTCTAATATATTTCAAATTGTATTCTCTAGAAGATTGATTTCTTAACCCTATTCCTGCTGGGGGGGGGGGTCAATTTGACCCCGACCCCCCCCCCTGTAGTTTTTTTACATAACTCAAAAAGTATTGGTCTGAGGCTGTTGAAATTTTCTGACTTTTCTTACATACCCAAAGCCCTCCCTTTAGGCATAAAACCGGGCTTTAATACTAACTGCCTGAGTCCTCAGGCCCACTGCCTGAATGACTGCCTTTGCCTGTAACAAACTAAATCTTTGTTTTGACCCACTTTCACTTGTCAGATTTTGATAAAATTTAGCTTTTTGGAAAGCCTATGACATAAGGAAACGGATTGCACAAGTTTTGCGAAAAAAAAATTGCAATTTTTTTTGCAACCAACCTGTCAAAGGAAATTTGCAGATTTTTAGTTTTTCTTCATTAAAAATCAGGTTATTTAAAATTTTGCAAAAATTTTTGCATATTTGAAATGGCATGGTCAAGGGCTTTTCAAAAATGTATAATTTGGTCATTTTTTGGACAAATTTTTTTTGCAAACATTTTTACTATACAACTGGATTTTGCGATAAAAAATTCAATTTTCGCAAATTTGCAAATCTTTTTGCAGATTCTAAAAGTAGAGCACAAGAGCTTTCTAATGATGTATCATTTGTCATATTTGGACATAAAACATGGGATTTAGAGGAGGGGGTCAAATTGACCCCCCCCCCCCAGCGTATCCTGGTTTTCAAGTATTCAAGTATTTAGGTAAGGTTAAGTTATGGTAAATATTGACTCAGACAGAAAATAATGGACCTGAAGGGTTGGAACAGCAATCATTTAATATCAACCAGTTGGAAAACCTGTCATGTTTGAATTTATGTAACACAATAAAACCAAAAAAGTCTGTAATGATAAAGTTAATTAATTAAAACAGATTTCTTGGGAGCCTCCAGAACGCCAAAAAATGCCTTGCACAAAATGAACGTCTGAAGATTTAATTTTAGAGTGCTTTAATAAAAAGGCAGAAAAATCTAGCGCGGACTCTAAAGTGTGAGTTAAAAACTTAAAAATAGTTCGTTAATTTCATAAAATATACTTTTAGAAGATACAGATCAACTTCTGAGGGTCCAGAGCAGACAGCGGAAAAATCTGGAACCATACTCTCAGTTTCAAAATCTGCCGCTAGATTTACAGGTTTGATATTCAGATTCTGCTAGATTTACAGGTTTGATATTTTAGATTCTGCTAGATTTACAGGTTTGATATTCAGATTCTGCTAGATTTACAGGTTTGATATTCAGATTCGGCTAGATTTACAGGTTTATATTCAGATTCGGCAAGATTTACAGCACTGCGATTTAATGGTCTCACGCTCTCAAGCTTAAATTGTTGAGAATTTTGCCAGTTACTGCTAAAAAAAAATATAGCTAACAACAAGTGCTTTACAGTGCTAAAATGTACATGTTAAGGGCTACAGAAAAGCATATGTGAGTTGGAGCGGTAAAATCTATGCTTAAGGCGTTGCGACAATTCAAAGTCAACCCTGTCTTAAAAATTGATGTGACTGTTTATAAGCAGGCTGAATCTATGTGAGGTTTGATATTCAGATTCGGCTAGATTTACAGGTTTGATTTGCCGCTAGACTTGCAGGTTTAATTTACAGCTAGATTTACAGGTTTAATTTTCTTCTAGATTTACATGTTTAATCTGCCGCTGGATTTACAAGTTTAATTTACAGCAAAATTTACAGGTTTAATTTACAGCAAGATTTACAGGTTTAATTTACAGCAAGATTTACAGGTTTAATTTACAGCAAGATTTACAGGTTTAATTTATAGCTAGATTTACAGGTTTAATTTTTCGCTAGATTTGCAGGTTTTATTTGTCGCTGAATTTACAGGTCTAATTTACAGCTAGATTTACAGGTTTAATTTACAGCAAGGTTTACAGGTTTTATTTACAACTAGATTTACAGGTTTAATTTACAGCAAGGTTTGCAGGTTTGATTTACAGCTAGAATTACAGGTTCAATTTACAGCTAGATTTTCAGATTTAATTTCCTCCATATTTACAGGATAACCTGTCGCTAAAAGAAAAGGGCCGGGGAGGGGGGATAATTAATTGAGAAAACATCTTATTCTAAGCTTTTAAATCAGTGATTTTGAATCCTTTGTTGAGAATTACGGTAAATGCAAGAAAACTTTTTTTTTTCTAAATTTCTGTTTTACTAGACGGGAAAGAGTTGGGATACAGCTACAATATAGACAGCTTTCCTGGGAGTAAAATTGAAGGGAGTAATCTGAGCCTGGAGGGGAGTAAACACAGTCTGTTTGGGAGTAAACCAAGTATAGGAGGGAGTAGAGCAAGTATATCTGAATCAGGGAGGGAGACCTGGAGAAGTATGAAAAAGAAATTGAACACAACATTCAAGATTGAAGAGAAATCAGATTCGGACGAGGATTCGGACACATAAACACTTTAGTTGTTTTGGACTCAAGCACTCTCATTTTTGTCATTATAACCTTGACATTTATAGACTTTTATGAAAGTACCATTTACCATCTTAAAATTCAATGACATAATTTGGCAAAACTAAAAAATTTTCTTTTAACAGTTTTCCGATATTTTTTGCCACTTTTAAGCAAAATTTTCAAGGTCAAATGTCTTTTTCATGAGCTGGTCTTGAATCAATATGTTTTCGCGATTGACAGAGAGCAGATTTGGTTTGGCTTTAAACCTAATCTTTCGCAAAACAAAAAATAAAGATTAATGCTTTCCTAGGGGATCAGCAATAATCTGAAAGATTATTCTGGTTTCTCTTGTTATTTTCTTGTAAAAATTTGAATTTTAAAATGTAAATAAAAGTGTTTTTTATTTTTTGTTTTTGTTCAGAAAGAGGCTCAATATGACCCATAATTAAGGAATATTTAACCGAAATAATAATTAAAATTTACTTTCTGAATAGTAATGGACCTCCATATTAGAGAAATAAAATTTTGAAATAAAAAAATACTATGAATTTTAATTTACTTTTTTTCACAAAAAAACATCCCAGCAATTAATATTATTATTATTATAAAGATTTTTTCACGCAAAAAGATATTCATACATAAATAAATGGTGTAGTTTAATTTTTTAGATATTTTGAATACATATAGTATTACAAAAGATAAAAAAGAAACATGAAAAATTGTGCAGAAATAGGCGACATTGATCAATATTCATTTCACAACATATTTATTATTTCAGTTATTACGTAATCATCGAATCCTTCATGATATAAATTATTCATTCTTGTATTTGATAGTTCTTGTAAAATCGGAACTTTCCATGCATGCATATAACATATTTAATTTGTTTCTTAACTAACATTTTACTAAGATCAGAAAGATTATTTACAAAACAATCATTTGCAATGGAAAATAAATTTCTGCCAAGAACTGGTTGAAGGTCATTTTTACATAAATTAGAAAGAAATCTAATGCAACGCTTCGAACTTGCTTCAATAGTCTCATACAAAGACACTACTAGTTAACATAGCTTTTACATGTAAACATTGTAGAATACTTTCAAGCAAGTACCTCCTCAAGGTAAATTAAAAAGAATTCTATAAATTGCAGTATGAATAGATCACCTCAAGTTCATCACCCTCATGAATAGATCACCCCAAGTTCATCACCCTCATGAATAGATCACCTCAAGTTCATCACCCTCATGAATAGATCATCACCCTTATTAATAGATCACCTCAAGTTCATCACCCTCATGAATAGATCACCTCAAGTTCATCACCCTCATGAATAGATCACCCCAAATTTATCATCCTCATGATTAGATCACCTCAAGTTCATCACCCTCATGAATAGATCATCACCCTTATTAATAGATCACCTCAAGTTCATCACCCTCATGATTAGATCACCTCAAGTTTATCACCCTCATGAATAGATCAACTCAAGTTCATCACCCTCATGAATAGATCATCCCAAGTTCATCACCCTCATGAATAGATCACCTCAAGTTCATCACCCTCATGAATAGATCACCCCAAGTTCATCACCCTCATGAATAGATCACCTCAAGTTCATCACCCTCATGAATAGATCACCCCAAGTTCATCACCCTCATGATTAAATCACCTCAATTTCATCACCCTCATGAATAGAACACCTCAAGTTCATCGCCCTAATAATAGATGACCTCAAGTTCATCACCTTCATGAATAGATCACCGCAAATTCATCACCCTTATGAATAGATCACCTCAAGTTCATAACCCTCATGAATAGATCACCTCAAGTTCATCAACGTCATGAATGGATCACCCTCATGATTAGATCACCTCAAGTAATAGATCACCTCAAGTTCATCACCCTCATGAATAGATCACCTCAAGTTCATAACCCTCATGAATAGATCACCTCAAGTTCATCAACCTCATGAATGGATCACCCCAAGTGTATCACCCTCATGAATAGATCACCTCAAGTTCATTACCCTCATAAATAGATCACCCCAAGTTCATCACCCTCATGAAAAGATCACCTCAAGTTCATCACCCTCATGAATAGATCACCCCAAGTTCATCACCCTCATGATTAAATCACCTCAATTTCATCACCCTCATGAATAGAACACCTCAAGTTCATCGCCCTAATAATAGATGACCTCAAGTTCATCACCTTCATGAATAGATCACCGCAAATTCATCACCCTTATGAATAGATCACCTCAAGTTCATCACCCTCATGAATAGATCACCCCAAGTTCATCACCCTCATGAATAGATCACCTCAAGTTTATCACCCTCATGAATAGATCACCTCAAGTTCATCACCCTCATGAATATATCACCTAAGTTCATCACCCTCATTAGTAGATCACCTCAAGTTCATCACCCTTATGATTAGATCACCTCAAGTTTATCACCCTCATGAATAGATCACCTCAAGTTCATCAACCTCATGAATAAATCACCTCAAGTTTATCACTCTCATGAATAGATCAGCACAAGTTCATCACCCTCATGAATACATCAGCTCAAGTTCATCGCCCTCATGATTAGATCACCTCAAGTTCATCACCTTCATGAATAGATCACCTCAAGTTCATCACCCTCATGAATTGATCACCTCAAATTAATCACCCTAATGTATACATCAGCTCAAGTTCATCGCCCCTCATGAATAGATCACCTCAACTTCATCACCCTCATGAATAGATCACCTCAAGTTCATAACCCTCATGAATAGGTCACCTCAAGTTCATCACCATCATAAATAGATCACCTCAAATTCATCACTCTCATGAATAGATCACCTCAAGTTCATAACCCTCAAGAATAGATCACCTCAAGATCATCGCCCACATGAATAGATCACCTCAAGTTCATAACCCTCATGAATAGAACACCTCAAGTTCATCAACCTCATGAATAGATCACCTCAAGTTCATCACCCTCATGATTAGATCACCTCAAGTTCACAACCCTCATGAATAGATCACCTCAAGTTCATAACCCTCATGAAAAGATCACATCAAGTTCATAAACCTCATGAATAGATCATCTCAAGTTCATCAACCTCATGAATGGATCATCTCAAATTCATCACCCTCATGAATAGTTCACCTCAAGTTCATTATCCTAAAACATTTTTATGAAAATAGTAATGTATCCTTCATGAGTTGGTTTTTAAAACTTCCAGAAATTGTAATGCATTTTTTTGTAATCAAAGTTTTAGGGGTCTAAGGTCTAATTGTCTACTCCAAAATATAAGAAAGCGTGGGCAAATGTCGTCGTTTCTCTAAGAATATTCGAATGGTGTGTAACTATAATAATTACAAACTATAAATTCTGTTAGATCAAATAATCAAGTTTATAGATATTAAAGGTTTACAGCAACAGGTGGCAAGATGTATGGATTAGAAAATTTGAGTTTGTGGCAAAGACTCAATTCCTTCCAGAATTATTACTTTACTGAGAAAAGCATAAAGAGTTGTTATTGCTTTATGTTTTAAATAGAGTGATGGTATTTAAGATTATGTTTAAGGAATGCGCCAAAAACTCCCTTTTTTAGGAACTTTTTAGACATAGACTGTTCTGGATTTTTTAAAAAACATTCAAAATAGAAACTTTAATTTACAAGTTAATCTTCTAGTACAATTGTGTAGTGTAAACAGACCCATTTTACTAAATCAGTTTATTATCAAGCTGTAAAACTTAAATTTGTGTGGTTTTCGAAAAATATTATTTTGTTTATGCATACATAATGCATCTATATTAATCTACTAACAAAATATTAGTTAATATTATGATAAAAATTATGAATAATATGCATAGAACTTATACACAGAACTGTGGAATATAAAATTTGTAAAAGAGTTTAAGAATGTTGAAAGAACTGCTGTGGGGGGATGTTCAGGTATGTTTTTCTATTAAATTTTATGTGCATCTATAGTGGATGAAGTTTGCATTAAAACTTCTGCATACAGATTTTCCTTAAAACTATTTTGTTTTTGGTTCAACAAGAAAATATATATTTTACAAAACTTTAAACGGATTCTTTCACAACTTTCTGAAAAGCTTCTCATTACATAATTAGCCTAGTTACTAGATAAGTACATACTTAGCCTAGTTACTAGATAAGTCTAGTAGCTAGATGCGTTCTGTTTCTTCTATTTGAATTAAGTCGTGTGTTTCTTTCGAAATATTTTTTAATTTAAATCACTTTTGAAGGGATTCCCTCTCGAATATTGAAGACAAGACAATGACGTCAAAACTTTGCTAAAACTTCTCAAAGTAAAATCTCAAAAACGTTTCCTCCTAACTTCCTTGTTAAGTTTTCTTGGACAAAGTTAGTTTGCTCGAGAATAAAAAATAAAAGACGAGTTGGACAGTTAGAGGCGATCTGATTTCAATTTTAAATGAATCGTCATTGAATCTTATCTAGGCAAACAAGGTTCATCAACCTTCGGTTTCGATGATGGTTAATGTTCAAATAAATTCCCGTTTTTTTAAAATCTGTTAATACTCGCAAGGAAAACAATAACGGTCCGATTCCAAGTGCGGAACCATTGAATAATGGTTTTAAGGTTTGCCCAAACAATTTCTATGTTTAGCAAAAGATTAAGGAAATACGTTCAAGTCCGGTGCTCGTTCTCACTTCAGTTTCAGTAGAAGTAAATATTTCCATTTACTGTTTAGCGCCGATCAAAGAATTTATCTCTAATTGGATAATGCTGATTGGATAATGAGAATATATAGGTATTGGTTCAGAATAGGCACGGAACACATGACTGAACCCTGATTGGATCAGGGGCTAATGGACTTTGCATAATAATGTTTGAAAAGTGGTCGTGAAGTTCACGTACTTTGGGGGACGATAGTATGGCTGCTATTTGTATCACGTAAAATTCTTATCTGATAGATAGATAATTCATACGAGCGACATCTAGCGCCAGCGGCCTAACTATCAACCCCCAAAGTTCGTGAACTACACGACCACTATGCATAGAGACAGGGGCGGATACCTGGGGGGGTTTTGAGTCTTTTAAGTCAAAAAAAATTTTCACCTGCAGCGCGATTTTTTGTTCCTAATTAGAAATTTTTTTGTTCCTAAAAAATCTTGCCCCCCTCACTTAAATCCTGTATCCGCCCCTGCATAGAGAGAACGGGCTCGGTGTCATGATAAAGACTTTAAGAGTATTCTTAAGGGATAAATTGACTCTACACGAGAAGATTTTTACATTTAAGAAATGACTACTGTACAATTTAGACAAGAAGGTTTCCAGTTTGAACCCTTTTAGTCGTGACAAATCCTAATTGAGTCTTGACATGTTATTCTCAACAATTTCTCTTTGCTTCTCTTATACAAGAT